CATTCCTTCCAGGAGTTGTTTGTTCCTCCGTTCTTTCATTTGTTCATTCCCCTCCTTTCTCCACTCATTCCTTAATTCCTTCCTTCTTTCAAACTCGGATGTTCCTCAGGAAAAGGAGAACCTGATTCTGTTCTCTGTAGCTGCTCCCGTTGTTCTGATGTTAGCATGAGATCAAACCCAAACGTTCCCCCAAACAGACCCAGAAACACCCCCAGCTCTTCCATCCCCTTCTGTCTATCAAGTGTCCTCTGCGTCTCCCTGCAGAAAGTGTTTGGGTTACTGCAGTGCCAAGACAGACCTGCAGTGCAAACACGCCGCTCTCCCCATACAAACACACACAGCCTGTGTGCTGTGGCTCAGTCAGCTGTAGTGCCAGCTGCAGCCCTCTTTCCACCAGCACGCGCCAATCTGATGTCCCATTAGGGCAAATGTAGACTTCCAGTAAGTGTGTGTTTGTGTAAAGGGGTGAAGGGCTTAGCCTAAAACCCTGTCACCCAGCTGCCTCTGCTGTCAGATGGTCCCAAAGACCCACATCAACAGATGTACAGGGAGCAGAGCTCATCAAATACCCCCACAGGCTGTGTTCAGGTTTTATTTAAGGATCCCCTTTAGTTTCTGCAGTACCGGTCCAAACTACCAACATCACAATGAACCACCTTAACAAACACGAACAAAGACAAAACACAGAATCATCCGCCTCAGGGATTTTAACATTTAGCATTAAACATTTAAATGTTAATACAGAGACCTTTATACAGGTCTGGAAAAAATTAAAATTACCTCTGATTTTACCCTTTATAGGTTTATGTTTGAGTAAAATGAACGTTGTTTTATTCTATGAACTACTGACAAAATTTACTTTTTATTAGCAGAAAATGAGAAATGGTCAAAATAACAAAAAAAAAGATGCAAAGAAAACAAGTTCATGTTCATTTAGACACAACAATACTGATGTTTTAACTCAGGAACCAACATTTGGTGGACAAACCAGCAGGTTTTCAATGCAGTGGGCTCTTTTCCTGGTGAAATAAAGGTTACTAAAACAAACAAAATTAAAACACAACATTTTGAAAAACAATAACAATCTTCACTTTCAGTATAAATTCATCCAGTCCATCAATCAGTACAATTTCTTTGTCTATTTTTTAAATGTTATGTAGATTTTAGTGTAATCACAGAAGGCTGCTATTTTTTTTTTTTTTAGAGCGTAGGGGATGTAAAAAAAAAAAACAATAGAGGCTCATTTGGTATCAAAACATGTTTATTTTAGGTGGTAAAACCAGTAAATATAAAAGACCACCTCCAGTAGGAGAAACAAACAGGCCAGCAGGAGTTTAGATTAATTTTCCCTCCCTTCTGCTTTTATCCGTTTCGAGACGAGCGTAGTAACGTAGTACTACGTGTTTACAAGCGTACTGAGCAGAAATGTCCTTGGCTGCAACGCGGAGCCACTTTTGGAATCTGGTGTCAGTTTACCAATGCAGTCTGGACTCGCTGGGGGTTATTGATGTTGACAGGCACAAAGACAGCTTGGCAACACACCTCCACCGCTTTTTACCAAGCAATGGCGCTGCAGACACGGATCTGTAGTTCACAGTTTGAATTAAAACGGGATTGTCAACAAACAGCAGCTTAGCACAGCTTTTTCTTAATCAGAGTATTGGTTTTTTTGGGTGTAAATTATCTTTTTAAACTGTTTGACTTGTTTTTATAATTTTTTTTGTAAATAGGTTTTACTGCTAACTGAATTCAAAGCAGGATCAGATTATTTAAACTGATAACTGAATTAATAATAATAAAATTATGAATAAAAATTAGCTCTAAAGCCCTAAAATTTATTAGTAAAAGTTTTAGTAGATATTTACATTTAAAGACATTAAATCAAACTAAACTCTTCCTCTTTCATATAATGTATGGTGACCTTTTTTTTATTTTTTTTTTTTCTAAATAGCAGAAATATGAGAATTTGTGTGGATTTTTTTTTATTCAGAATTTTTTTTACACTGGGATTACTATTTACTTTAGCTCAGATTATCAAACTTTGCAATCTGCAAGGTTGGAATATATAAACCAGGCCCCATACACAGGAACTGTGCTGATCGTAAACTGCTGCCAGTTACTCAGCAAGTTGTTGCTAGGTAACGACAAGCTACTCAGCAAGTTGTTGCTAGGTAACCAGAGTGAGTTAGCTAGTTGCCACCAACATTTCTTTGCTAGCCTCGAGTTTCAGAGGCTAAACACCAGTCTAGAGGATTTAATTCCTGTTATCATTGAACTGATAAATCTAGGTTGTTCTGTCCATGCAAGTAAAAAGAAAAAAAGATAAAAAAAAATTAACTTTAGCTCCGATTATCAAACTTTAGCTGAGTTTATCGCATTTAACTTTGAGAGATGAAATGGTGGGTCATATCTGAAAGAGACGTCTGTAAAAACAGGGATGAATAATAAGGCAGGTAAACATGAACCAGACCCCATTTACAGGATCTGATAGTGCTGATCTTCATATCCGTAAACATCGTCAGCTCCCTTCCCCCCATGAATGATGACACAACCTCTTCCACAAAGCTGTGTAACTCGATCCGGCCTTTCCGACAGGGGAAGGTCCCATTAGCACCGGCCCGGGGCCCCCAGGGGCCTCCAGGAGGCAAAGCGTCCCACCACACCAACACCCCGTCGGAGAGGATCACGCCAGCCTCCCATTGGCGGAGGATGGATCAGCCCAGAGAAGGGGAGCCGCTTCCATTGGTGCAGTGGGAGCGAGAGCGATGGCAGGATGTGGGCAGACTGGGAGGTTATGGGATCGATTGATCGATCCAGATCCTCCTCAGCTCAAATACATACAGACTCAGGCAGGTTATGCAGGGCCACCGGATGAGATACGCAATTTGTAAATAGACAAAAAGTTAAGCCAAAATGTTTATGCGTATATACTAATGTCTTTTATTTCTTTACACTGCAAAAACACAATCTTACCAAGTATTTCTGATCTAGTAAATATCTTGGTACATTTCAAAAGGGATAAAATTAGCTTAAAACTTCAGTATATCAAGTAATTAATTCCTTAATATTAACCAAAAAGCACTAGTTCCACTTGCAGATCATTTCCCTTATAACGAGGGAAAAATGTCTCGTTACAGTGAAGTAATATTCAGCAACATTAAGTAGTTATTGACTTAAAAATGGCTCCCATATCTTGCTGAGAATTTACCTGACAGTTTATACACTTGATATAAGACAAATATATTTTCACAAGAAACTGGACCAAAAGTATTTGGTAAGATTTTGCTTTTTCACAGCGCATTTGATTTTCGTTTATGGCCAAATCTTTTACCGGACGAAATGCGCCGTTCTCAAAATGAGAGTGATCCTTATTTAAAACAAAGAAAACTCCACTGAAAGAATGAAAACTTTTTACTTTATACAAAATTAACTGGTGCCCCTTGAACAACAAGTGTATACAATATGCATGTTCAACAGAGATGCATCTTCAATTCTTTATTTTTGCTGTGTCCCATTTACAGAAATACAATGGCGTTTTGAGACAGTGACATGGTTTGAAAAAAGAAAAATACGGGGGTAAAATTTTGCCTTTTGAAACTGAACTAGCAACTGAATAAAAAAGAAAAAAATATATATATATATATTCCTGCATCTGCAAACATTGTTCCCTTCATTAAAGCCTTTGAACCAAAACATGAAGCAAATGCATAAAATCCACATTTGACCCACATTCAGAGCTGCTATGATGGATTTTTTATATCAATTTTCTCCAAACTGTTTAATTTCCAGGAATCACCATGATAGACAAGCAAGTGAGATAAATGGGCGCGTTTTATTCTGGCGAATAAAAACACGCCATGATACACCACACCATGTTTGAGACAGTTGCGCTCCTCAACACGTGGAAATAAAAAAAAAAAAAAAATGAACACAAATAAGAAATGTAATAAATTATTACATTAAGGCACCTGAAATAAAAGGATTTCCAACGGGTTTAGAAATGGTTTGAAAACTTTAAGGCTACAATGTTGTTTTAAATGCTTTATGTTGCTTGGAGACAAAAAAAAAAATATAAAGATTGTGCCCGACTGCGTTAAGTGATGGCAGTGATTCTTCCCAAACCGCGGAAAAGTTTTTCTGTTTTTAATTTAAAGAAGCGACGCCAAGCCGTTTCCAAACCCGTCAGAAAATCCTCCATAGGTGGTACCTCCGTGTGGGACTCTGGGTGCTAACCGTTAGAAAACCTGCTTATATCAACCGACATAAATAAAAGAAATGACGTTGTAAAAAAAAAATAAAAATAATATTAACAATAATAATAAAAATGTGTGACTTGTTTTTAACTTATTTCAAATATACACAGCGACTCCTTTAAGTATTTACATGTATGTACAGCGTAGTCATTTCTGCTTTGATCAAATACCTTGAATGGCGTTGCTGTGAAATTGAACTCTTTAAATGTACAAGAATCCCTTCGAAATCGGAGAGGAAGGAGGTCAAACCGGGCAGCACGACTCGGAGCCACGGCGGCTCGTAGAAAAGGCACTTGCTACCAACTCAAATACTGCAAAATATTACAAATACAGCTTTCAGCCGAGACGACAAAGGAGAAAACAAAAGACATGGAAGGCCACGTAGTAGGCACTGGGGTTTCTGTCCCTTCCTCCTCCCTCCAGGCCAGAGTTTTGGTAAGGCATGACAGCCGCAGGTGGATCGGTGGGCAAAGCTGGAAGGTGACGGAGAAAACTGTCCATTTTCGTCCAAATCCTTAGAGCCCACTGACATTTCAACAAAACTCATAACAGTCTGTAAACAATCTTTTTACAGCTTTTTTTTTCCTTTTAATAATTCAAATTTTACTTAAATAGCAGAATTCCATAACTGAACTGAAAAAATAAGCAGGGAGCTTCTTTCGCCTCCTGAAATTATAGATATATTACATTTCAGCGCCTTCTTCTGTACGCAACGAAAAGCAAAAATATGATGTTCACTGTGCTCACGCCTCCTGAACGAGGGGAAAGAAAAACGGAGAAATCATCTTCAGCGACAACCCAAAAAAAAAACAACAACCAAAGAACGGCTTCTTAAACGCAAAGCCTCGTTTAGTTTTCAACAGAAGTCCCAAACACAACAGGACAGTAGCTGCCTTGCAGCCTCTCTCGCCTCTGCATAGTCCTTTCTTTACGTTTTCTTACACACAATGGTCTTTGAGCTCTTTCTGACCAGTCCAGACGCCACCGACGTTTCTCCAGCGGTTGTCTTTAGAGCTGTAGCCTTGGGTCCGGTGGGGGGCTTTGAGAGGCGGACTGGAGCTGTGCAGGGTGCAGATCATCCCCCCGCTGGACTGCACTGCAGTTTTAGAGTACCTATAAACGAGCTCCTTTCCCGCCTCCGCGCCGCCGCCGCACTCCTCCTCCAGCTCGCCCTCCGTCTCCTCCTCCTCATCGTCACACGTCCGACAGGAGGGGCCCATGAGCTTTCTGCGCTCCTGCTCAGTCTCCCTGTTGCTCTCCTTCAGCTGCTGCTGCGGCTGGCGTCCCACGACGAGGCGCAGCGGCTCCCACTGGTTGTTCACGCTGCCGTCAGGAGCCGACTGCGCCGACCTCTCGCGCTCTTTTCTCCGTTTCCGCGTCCACCACACGCAGAGGATGATGCAGAAGAGGCAGAGCAAGCAGAAGAGGACGCACAGCAGAGGCACCAGGTAGTCTGTGGGGTACGAGAGAGGAAATGCAAAAAAAAAAAAATCAGCAACTGGACACGACCTCTAGCTACGAACAAGGAATAGGACCACGGGAAAAAAACTGGATCCGAGGAAAAGTGTTAAAAGTCTGAGGAAAAAAGTCAATTATGAGAAAGATAAGAATTCTGTGACGAAATGTCGCAATTGTGAGACAAAGAAAAAATAATTCCGAGTTGAAACGTCGGAATTCTGAGAAAAAAGAAAAAGAAATTCAGAGACAAAATGTCAATTGTCAGACGAAACGTCACAATTGAGAAAAAGAAAAAAGGGAATTCTGAGACCAAACGTCAGATTTCTGAGAAAAAGAAAAAAAAAAAATTCTGAGACGAAACGTCGGAATTCTGAAAGAAAAAAAATCCAAAATCTGAAGAGGAAAAAAAAAAGGCAAAATTTAGATATTTTTCCACTTAAAATTGTAAAAGGATTAAAAAAAAACAAATTTTGAGGAAAAAAGTAAAAATTCAGAGGGAATAATTCAGAATTTTGAGGGAGAAAACCTTTTTTTTCCGTAACAAACTGTAGTGGTTCGTTCATCGATACTCACCCACTGACGGAGGCATGAGCTGCGTCTCCACCTTCACCTCTATGACCGCCAGCATGACGGTGCTGTTGTGCCTCTTGGATAAGGTGCCCACCACGGCACTGGCTGCCTCCTGGATCAGGCTGTGGTCTGGAAGATTTTCTGGCTGGAAAGACTTGGAGCCAAAACAGAAAACAAGAAAGCTCAGAAACATAAAAAAAAAAGAAAAGAAAAAAGTTGCGTGCAAGACACCTGCAGTGTCGGCCCAAACAAACAAGTTCGCACACTGCAGATGTTTTAAACCTGGTGGTTGTTGAGTCACTTTCAGTAAGCAACAGGCTTTGCCTCAACTGGTTCTTTGCTCTTAGAAGAAAATGCAAATTAAAACAGTTTAATTGTTAAAATAAACTGACAGTAGTGCCTAGCTTAAATGTTCCACGTTTTATGAAACAACTGGAACAACTTGGAACAGCAAGTCTTAAAAAGCAAAGTGCAATTACTCAGAGGAGAGGAAGAAATTTACCCTTAAATTCTGTAAAACCTGCTGAGAAGTGAAATAAATCCCTGCAGAAACAGGAATACTGGAAAACCTCATGGTTCTGTTTTAGGACCAACGTAGTTTTGGTTCAACATTACAGTTAAACCTAAATATTGTAGAGTATTTAGAGCTGCATGCATGCAGAAGATATTACTGATTGATTGATAATATTTAAATGAGATGGTGTACATTAATTAACCTACAATGTCAAATATCAGATTTAGCAAAATGCTAGTTTCCTTCATCTAGTCCCATTTATGTAGACATTTGCCCAAAACTACAAAACAAGCATTAAGCAGGCCTTTTCGTTTTCTCGAAATTCTGTTTTGCAGAATTCTGACATTTTTTTAATTGAAATTCTGACTAAATACAGTTTTTCCATGTTAAAAGTGAAATAATCTGCCAATAGAATCAGGATTTTTTCATCAATATTAAGGAGCTACTGACTTAAAACAAGATATTTCTTCCCAAAAAGTTGCTTGTAAATGAGTTTTATTTTATTTCAAGTGTGCCGAGATGTTTGCTCTAGAAACACTTGGTAGGATTTTCGGTTTTTGCAGTGTTCTAACAAGTTTCAGATATTTTGCTAATCCAACATGAAACTGAAAGCGGTACCTTGCACCTTTCGTGAGGATACATGTTTATGCGTATTATTTGGGTCATTCACTTACAATGGCCACCTCTACAGCATCTGGGTTTGAATGCGAGAGGCCGCACAGCAGAAGGAGGCTGTGGTCTTTCGCCAAACTCCTGGTGTCTTCAAGATACCTCAGCTCAAAGCAAATATTCTCCACTGTGATCCCCTAAAAACAAACAGACTCATCAGCAGCAGCACGAATTTCAGGAGAAATCTCAACCACAGGCTGCGACAGAAAGGAAAAAAATGAAAACTATACGAGCGATGACTCACAGGCGGCACTTTGTCTCTGTTGAAAACAAGAGTTATGCGGCCGCAGCTGTTGTCCAAATGGCCGCTGTTTGGCTGGCACTTGGTGGCTGCTTGGGGCGGCGGGGGTCCGGCCATCGAACAAACCCCCCACTGATCGCAGGGCTGAGAGAAGCAGGTGTAGTAGTTGTGCTCCAGGCACTCCTGTCCGGCTGGGCAGGACTTCTGTCCCGACGGACTGAGCCGGCAGGGGCGGCGACCACACAGCACCTGGTGTCAGAGTCAAAATGTAAAAAACAACTTTGTTTTTGACAGATTATTTCATTTCCTGAGGTAGTTTTGCTATTTTGTTTAGATTAGAAGCATTGTTTTGTCAATCTGTTTCCATCGACCATATATTTGAACCAATTGGTGTCCAAACTTTACCCTCAACAATAAACTAAACATGCAGTACTGTTCAGTCCATTACTTTTAGAAATCATTTAGTACCTTAGCTCAACATTTAGTTTTATACTTTTAATTTCGGAGCAAGACCCGGAGAAACTCCTGTGTGTTTACGAATCTAGAACAAACTTAGAAAGTGACGTCTACTCAACAACCAGAACAAGAATCAAACATGGAGAACCAACATTTAGCTTCATACTGTACACATCTAGACCCCAGAACAACATGTGAGGATGTGTGGACATCCTGCTTCAGAAAACCGATCTCTTAAAAGCTGCCAGAGGATGTTGGCGTGCGTCTGCATACCTTTGTGCAGCGCACTCTGCCATCGATGCAGTGACAGTTGTTGCACTCTTCCTCCCAATGGCTGCCATGAGGAAACTGCAGACCAGCATACAGACAAGTCCTTCCAATGCCTATGACTGCAAACACACGGAAGGTCAAGCTCAGCTCTACATTTGGAGTAATTATTGAGTAAATTAATTGGTGTGATAATGGGACTACTGAAAAAACCAAACTATTAAAGTAAAATCAGAATTACATTCTTGGCATCTGGCTCCTGATCTACCAAGAGGACAGATGCAGCGGAAGCCATTGATGTCATCCACACAGGTGGCTCCGTAGGCGCAGGGAGAAGACTGGCACTCGTTTATGTCTGTACGGAGAAACAATCGTGCCAAAAATAAAGAGTTCGCACGAGATCAGTGTAAAACTTAGTAGGTTTCTGGCAAAATTTCCAATATACAGGGAAGAGTAAAACCAAGCCTAACAAGGAGATTTAAGTAAAAAAAATGTTTGAATGACTTTTGGTTTGGGAGCAGAGTTGGATAGTAACTAGCTACATTTACTCAGTGCAACATTTTGCAAAAAAAATTTACTTTTAGGATTATTTATTCTGCGTTGCGCTTTTTACTTTTACTTGAGTCATTTTATTATGAAGTATTTTTACTTTTACTTGAGTAAAACTTCTGGATTTTCTTCCCACTGGATGAACAACAAACATGTTTTAACCAAACATTCATCAGACACACCTGCAGCTTTTGGTGAAGTTTCATAAGTTTTTTAATGAAAGAAACTGATATGGAAATATTTTTCTTTTGCCTGATTTTGTAATTTTTTGGGTTACTTGTATGAATTATCATCACTTTGGTCCTTAAAATACCAAAAATTCCATCTAACTCTGTATTTTGGTCCATTTGATGATGTAATTTTTAAATACTGAATGACTGGACCAGACTTTTTACTTTTACTTGAGTTAAATTTTTGGGTTTTCTGCCCATCTCTGGTCATGAGCGTCTCCAGCTGCGTTATTTTTTAAATTTATGAGATATATGCAGCATTAGACCAGTCTAAATGAGCTTTCTCTGTAAAATGGCTGATTCCAAGTGTTGCTAGGGAGCGATGCAAGATATGCAACTAAAGTTTGGTAAATTAATGCCACAAAGCGTGAAATATCAAAAATATCTCAACTTCTGGGTTTCTTGAGAGCCGTTGGAAACTTTGGCGTTTTGTTGTCCGTAAACTCAACATGGACGGGAATTCTCATATTCAACCAGACAACAAAGGTGAACGCTATCCGGTCCAAACAAAGGAACAGAAGAAGAGTTTCAGGGTCACTGGGTAATTTGTCTTCTGTGTGTGAAAGTCTGACCGCGTGAGTATGGAGGAGGTATGACCTCTGACCCCGGAGATGTCAAAGAACCGAGAAAAAGGGTAGAGGGCTTGCTTTTAGCTGTCATTGTGTCCGTTTCATTTTGAGCTTTACCTCAATACATCTGGATATAAAGAATACATCAGGATTATGGGAATTTATCGTCTTATCAATTGTGAAAATATTTCAATTTATTGTCAAAACTGTAAATTCAAATTAATTTTGTTCAAAACCCCCCAAAACTTCCCTTATTATCAGGTTTTGCTATTTGTTCAGTCAAGGCATAAATAAATGCCAATAAATTATTGGAAAATAAAGTAACCATGAGCAGGTTAGTGATAAATCACGACTCGCTTTGCAAACAGGAATGTTTTTCAAGAGTAGTTTTTGGGTTTGTGGGACTATAATTGCTGTGACACACAGTCACACAGTAACCTAAAGAAATGTGATATTTTTTATCACTTTTATTGTTATTACAATAATACTAGGAATGATGCGATAAATCAATTAATCGCCTCATAAATTAAAATGAACTTTTTTTCTTTTCTCCGTTTCTACCAAAAATTGGATGGCAATTTTGTTTACAGACTTTATATTTCATTTTGTTTGTTGTTTCTGTTTATTTTTAATATGCAAAATGTCTTCCAGTTTTAAATGTTCACTAGAGTTTAAAGATCTTTGGGAATGTTTTATTACATTACTTGAAAATTGTCTTAAAAAATAATATAAGTTTATCGCAATAACTTCTGGGACAATTTATCGGCCAGTAAAATTTATCATGACAGGCCTAAAAAGCACCACGAAATATTGTAATAAAACGTAAAGCCCGTATCACCCACCTCTGCTTTGGATATTGACTTTTTTTTTTTAGTATTTTACTCACTTATTCTGCAGTCTGGTCCAGCAAACCCAGGAGCGCACTCGCAGCGGAACCAGTTGACTCCATCCTCACAAATCCCACCGTTGAAACTACGAGAAAAAAGAAAGATGATTAGACGAGGCTGGACATCCTGTCCAGCGGCAGCAGAGACCATCGTGTGTGTGTGGGGTGCAGGTCACAAAGCTCAATTCAGCTCATCAATACAAGCCTTCACCTTTCAGATGCTAATAGGCGTGTCCAGCGCCTCCCCCTCCCATCCTCTCATCATGGCTTCCTCCTCAAAGCTGAGCTCCCCCCCAGGTCGCACGGGAAGAATGGAGCCTACGACTCGACCCCCAACCTCCCCCTAACCCCACCTGCATTCACCGCAGGGTCGGCGGGACTCTTGTCCTCCCCACAAAACTCCCACCTCTCACTGTCCCATTCAGGACGGGAGCGCACCTCCCCCTTTAAGGCTGGATTTAAAGGCAGGTTGCTCCGGCCTTTGGAGGCTGAAAACGACTGCGTGAAGCGAGGAGAAGACGGAGGGAGGCAGAGAGACGATGAGCGTTACGTACCATGGATGAGGGCTGCAGTCGTCTTTGTCTGTTGAAGGAGAAAGAAAATATTGTTAAGGTAGTTTGGAGAAAGTTTCCCAATTTAGAGGGAGCCTTCAGAGTCGCATAAAGACGGTTACAAAGACAGCCTTTTATCACCTGAAGAACATTTGCTGGATTACAGGACTAATCTCATCTCTAGTTGCATTAATTATTGTCTACCTGAATAAAAAAAAATCACTCTGACCAAAATGCTGCTGCTGGCGTTCTGACTAAAACCAGGAAGATGGAGCACATCACCCTGCCTCTCTGGAGCTCACTGAACGGCTTGGCAACAAAATACTTGAAAACTTTCAAGGTCTCTTGTTCTGGTTCTGCTCTGCTTCTACACAACCAAACCTGGAGACGCAGCATTCAGCTTCTACGCACCACAAATCTAGAAAACTGCATAACAGCTGGAATACTGAGAGCCTTTACATGGAGAAGCAGCGAACTCAATTTATTGATTGAATAATAAATTAAACAAGTAAAAATGTTACCAAACCCAACATCAGTATGACATTCATCTTAATATTTGCATTTATTTAAACTTTTTGAACCAATTATTTTCTCTTTTTCTGATGTATAAAACATTTTTAGTTCATTTTTAGCAACAAAAATGATAATTTCCTGTTAAAACCTTCGCTTTGTTTAGCCCAGGTGTGTTTCTGACGAAAAGGTCACTGGATGTTTGAAGCATCTATGAAATAAAGCGTCTATGAAATAAAAAGAATAAAAAAATAACTTTGTTTTGTTCAACTTGCCACCTTAGAAAAATTACAAAAACTGTCCATCAGCATCAACAAAACTTTGACCAACATATTTTAGTGATGATTTTAATTATGGTATTTGACAAAACGCTTCTTCCGTTGCAATTGTCGACTATACGATGCTTTTATATTTTTATGATGTAAAGAACTTTGAACTGCAACACAAATGAATTTTGATTGATTGCGGATGATTTTTTTAAAAAATCACCTACAATAAAAGATTAATTCCTTGTGATTTTATGAACTTCTACAATTTCTTTGAGCTACAAATTGGCTGCAAAACATCTGATTGGTGCATCTCTAATCTACTCTGCAGATAATTGCCTCCCCTCTGGTGAAAGAATTAAACTTTGGTGCATTTCCTGCGAAGATTAAAAGTTTTGCAGAGGTACTAACTGTGTCCGCAGGTGGGGCCTTCCCAGCCGTCTTTGCAGATGCAGGAGAAAGCGTCTCCTCCTCCTACGCACGTCCCACCGTTGGAACAAGGACTGGAGGCACAAGAGCTGTTTTTGGCTGCAGAAAGTGGGAGGAGGGAGAGAAAATTACAGAGATGCATGCAAGCATCAACAGATTTCACTGGAAATCAGAGAACCTTTAAAAACTGGCAGAAAACAAACAGGAGAAAAGACTCCACTAATTACAAATCACCAATGAAAAACATGAGAACAGCGGCGCTACCGAGTACATGAAACGTTTTATCTCAAAGTAGCTGAAGCAGAAACTTATGAAGCATGATTACTGGCAACTTCAGGGGAAATGATCGTTGCTTTTAATGCGTCGTCACCTGTGTTGCACGTGTTTCCTTCCCAGCCAGGTGGGCAGGAGCAGCGGAAAGCGTCGCCGTGGTCGTAGCAGGTGCCGCCGTTACTGCAGGTGGTTTCATCGCACTGACTCTCACCTGATCACAAAACAAAAAAAATACAGTAATAATCAGTTAATTAATCATCATACATCAATTAAGTGTGATAATTTCTATTCTGATATTTATTTTTTGTTTTGAGACTCCATAGTCTGTTTTATTTTGGATATTTCAAATGTCCTCCCGTTCCCCTGTGGAGTATTACTGCAAAATTAAAGTTTATTAATTTGATTAATTAAGTGCATCAGTATGCCATGATCAATATATTACTTGAAAATGCTTTTTATTTTGATATCTTCATACAAGATGCAGGTGCAGCAGTTTTTCCAAGGAAAAACTTCCACCAAATAATGACTTTAAAAGTGTTAGAAATATTTTTAGATGCAGCTTTTGTCACCAAGTAGAAAACTTTCGGGTTGTTTTTCATTTATTTATTACACACATATAGTTGTCCATAAATATGCAAATCCCATAGAAGAAAAGGTATTTATGCTCCGTTTTTTATTTTTGGCTCTTCACATTGCAGAAGTTGCCATTCACTGCTCTAAACTCAATATTTTATTAATCAAATTAAGTAATTTCTTTCTACGTACTGACAAATTACATTGATCTGAATAGATGGTCAATATTGTTTAACTTGAAGTACTCATTGAATGCAAAAGCAGCTACTTGTTGATAATTTAGCAGCTTATTAAATTGTTTTATCAATATATTTTGCCACAATACGAGAACATTTATGATGCTGAAATGGCCCAAAATGACCAAATGATCCCGTTAGTGATGCAGTTTAAGGTTCCGGCTGCTGATTGGTTAAACTCCTGACCAATCCTCTGCTCTGTTGTTGGAACCCAACTCACGGGAGTGGCAGGTCTTGCCCTTCCAGTCGTCGGCGCATTCGCAGTAGAAGTCATTCACCAAGTCGACGCAGCGGCCGCCATTTTTGCACGGGTTGTGTCTGCACTCGTCGACGTCTGAGGAAAGAAAAAATGTGACTCATTCTCCCATTCAACAACCACCAAACTAACTCCAAACCATACAGAGAGATTAAGCTCCACTCCAGGTGTGCTGGGGAGATTTTCCAAACAGAAGACGAACTCACTGAGGTCACAGAGTTGACCCTCCCAGCCGTCCAGACAGACGCACTGAAACGAGCTCAACCCGTCGATGCAGGTCCCGCCGTTCTTACACGGGTTGCTGATGCAGTCGTTGATATCTGAGACAAAGTTTCCAGTTACCGAATCTTCTGACATCTTCGACAGAATGTTAGTTAACCGAGATGTTTCCGGACGTACTTTCGTGACAGTAGATGCCGCTGAAACCCGGATCACAGATGCAGCTGAAGTTGCCGGTTGGCTGGCTGATGCATCGTCCGCGTGGGCCGCACACGTTGGAGGAAACGTGCTGCACTGCTCCCAAGTCGTCGACTGCCACGGCAACAACGCAGCTGTCAATAACTAGAACAGAGGAAAGAAGGTCATTAATGGTGACCTATTGTGCTTTACTGAACAGGTTAGAATAAGTCCATTTGTTATACAAAAAAGATATGCCGATGTGTTTGGCACAAAATCATTTTAGTTAATGGCATTTTAGTCTGCTCAGTTCTGCCTATTTTGAGATGTTTTAAGGCGTCTTGTCACTTTAAATCCAAATAAGCTGCTCAACGTTTACACTCACACTTGAAAATGTCTGCAAACAAAAGCAAAATTATACAACCGTACATCTTTGAAAAGCAGAAATAGAGCCTCCTGTACATCCAAGAAAGCAGCAAGTAGTTTCTGAATGGTAAAGTCAACAACAAAACTCTTGTCTTTTCCAGCAGCCATTGTATTGCGGTTAAACCAAATGTGCTGGAGCTCAGCTGCGGTTGCCACATAGCTAGCAGAGCACCCATGGCGTTGCTAGGTAACATTCAAAAAGATTTTCAGAGCAGCTCGTTTTCCAGACACCAAAAACATCAACTCAATGCAACAAAGCATCAAGTTACTGCTGTAAGTAGAGAGCACACATTTTCAGTCTGAAAGCAAGATTTCAAAACACTTCCATTCTATTGGCTGAGGCTGTTACCAGGCAACCGTATTTTTTATTTTGAGAGAGAGAGCAGAAAAGCGTGAGGAGAAAGGTTTGAGAAAGCACAGTGAATGTTTCAAAGAGAGCAGAAAAGAATTTGCAAGCAAGCAGAGAGGTTTGCAAGCGGAGACTTGAACCAGGCAGAGAGAAGTTTTGAGCGAGAGGAAAAAGTTTGAGAGAGCACAGTGAATATTTGAAAGAGAGCAGATGTTTTGAGCACACGTATTAAATGTTTTGAGAAAAAAAACACAAAGTCCTGCTTTCAGACTGAAAATGTGTGCTCTCGATTTATGGCAGCAAAATCCCCCCATACAAATGGAAGTACAGAAATGTCCAAAATGTGTATTTTGCATAATAATAAAAACAACAATAAAAATCAATGCTTCTCAATTTTTTTGAAGATTATTTGTAGTTGTTGAGGCACCTTGACATGTTGCGGTTTGGCAGCGCTGCTTCAGACGTTCGCAGGTTTTTCCCTCGTAGCCTTCGGGACAAGCGCAGTAGAAGTCTTGGTCCATGCTGTGGCAGGTGGCGCCGTTCTCACAGGGGTTTGAATCGCAGGCATCAGAGGGGGGCCACTGAGAGATCTGTGGGAAGTGAGAAGAGACAAGTGCTGTTAAATTACATTAAAACAACCCGATTATTACAACAACAAAAAAAAACACACACACCAAGAAATGTACAGCTATTGTTTTATACAAACCAATTACAGATTGATTTTTTTTTTACATCAAAACAAAAAGGAATCTCAGATTGTGTTCATTAAATAGAATCTGGATTTCAATTGTGGAGAAATACTGGAAATAAAAATAGTTAATAGTTTTTCCCTGCAGTTGCAACTCACTCAAAAAATGTACATTTCAATTGAAATGGGATATAAAAGTTTACTGAAAGTCTCACAGTAAACTCAAAAATTATCAATTCATCAGAAGAGTAACAATAATAGTAATATTAAGTTGGTCAATATGCAAAGTTGATGGGACACCAATGAGTATACCTGTTGGGAAACTGAGTTTTTATGCATTATTTTTACATTTTCTTTTTTCTGAGGGTCACTAAACTAACCAGGAAATGTATGTGAAACTGACATTTCACATATAAAAAACCCATTAAGACAGAAGCAAGAGAAAACAAAGAGGCGGCAGAGAAAGAAGAGCTTAAGTATGTTCAGATGAGCAGCTTAGTGGACTCGAGCCAGCGCTGTTGTTCTGAACAAAACAAAGGTAAGCAAACGAATTAAGCCTCAAAAAACTTTCACTAAGCTCATCAAGGGAATCCAGGCGTTTGGTTCCCTAATCTTGCAAGATTATTCTGAGACAAAATCCCAGCTGAGTGTGAGAAACTGAGCAGGCGAACAAAAAGATTATCCACAATGAGAGTAAATACCGACTGAGGTTCATCACACTGAACAATAATAGAGATAAATCTGGGCGAGAGGCCAACGCGACTTTCTAACATCATTTTAAAAAATGGGGAGTTTAGACAGAAAAATCTCTTCGTTGATGTAAACAGAAGCCTACTGTGAATAAACTTTGGGTTGGACCTTACTACCATTTAAGGAGAAGCAGAGAGGTTAGCAGGGCAACATGGTGGTCAAATTTGTGGTTTATTTTACTGAAACAGTCAGGACACCCCGTCCCAAAAATGTAGAAATCACATTCACATTTTATAATATATGTCTGCAGGCATCTGAGCAGTTTCATGGGCTCAATCAGTCCAAAACATTTTTAAAGTTTACTTAATCTTTTCAGATTAATAGCATCAGCCACAGTTTTTAACGTATTAATATTAAATTATGCAGATTAGTCAAATTAACATTTTTCTTACACTGCAAAAACAAAATTTTAACCAATAAATTTGGTCCAGTTTCTACTGCTAACACCTTAATAAACTTTAAATAAGACTAAACTTATTTAGAAACTTTTCAGAAAGACATAGGAGCTTGTTTTAAGTGAATAATTCCTCAATAATCATGAAAAAGTTCTAATTCCACTGGTGCAGTTACCTAGCAACACCAGCCATGCCCAGCCCGTTACCTAGCAACCCAGTTCTAGTTCCACTGGCAGATTATTTCATTTGTAACATGAGAAAAATGTCTTGTTATAAGAAGCATATTACCCCCGTTATAAGTGAAATAATCTCCCAGTGGAACTAGAACTGGGTTGCTAGGTAACAGGCTGGGCTTGGCTGGCGTTGCTAGGTAACGGCGCCAGTGGAACTGGGACTTCATCGATATAAAAGGAATTATTGACTTAAAACAAACTCCTATATCTTGCTGAAAAGTTACTTGTGAATTGTTTTATCTTATTTCAAGGGAATTTCAACAGATTTGCACTAGAAGCTGGACCAAAAATACTTGGTAAGATTTCGGAGTGTTCACAGCAGCTGGTTATGATGGAGAAAGATAAACGTTTTCCGCCACTCGAAGAGAAACCAAAAAATTGGGATGCGATCGCAACGACGGCAACAAAAGTTCAATATGTGACATTTCTAAATTAACGATGACACCAAAATGACTGAAAAGCTTAGAATCTTCAAACATGCTTGGTTTGAGCAATAAAACATTTTCCTAAGCATTTTTGAAAATGTTTAAGCTTTTAGGGCGTTTAGGGTTTTTATTATGGGCAGTTGCCCAGGGCGGCCTCAGAGAGGGGCGGGCCACAGAAGAACCGGAAAATAAAATCCCTCGTTTCTCAGTTGTCCCCTGAACAAGTTTGGTGCTACTTGAACACGTGTAGTGGATCAAGTTTCCCTTTGATGCTGCTGAGTGTTGGAGGACCATGTTACCTGGTTTGATACAAAAAACCCTATAACTGCTTGTATTTCAAGTGGTTGGAGTGCAGCAGAAGGAGGGGCTGCCCCAGGACATCATTCCTGCAACAACCACAACTAGTTCTTGTGAAAATTGATTAAAATTTTTAATTGATCGACAGCACCACATTTTAAATTTCCTGTTAACTTTTTTTTTTTTTTTTTTTTTTTTTTAATGTGCCGAAAGTCTTTAATAGCAGTTTTTTCAAGTTTTTTTATTTTTTTATTTTTTTTATATTT